AGGTGTGTCTCGAGAGACATCAAAAAGAAGAAGAAATCCACTTCTTGCCGCAGGAATTTGAAAAGAGAAAGATCTTTGCAACCTTTCTCTCATCCTCCTGCCAGTGACTTCACAACCTCGGACCGTGATCCACCAACAACTTCGCTCCGATCCAGACATCTGCCTCGTTCGGACCTTTGCCTATAACTTGACTGTCTCTTCCATTTCTGGTTCACTTTTAATGCACAAAGTGACCTGAAGCGTTACAAATCGTTCTTCGCCACCTTCCTGGATACATACACCAAGCGCCCATTCCGGATTTGTTTCTTTTCTTCACGCCGGAAATAAAGCCAGATATACCACCGTGGGAACTCAACTTCGTCTCGTGTTCTGCATTTGTGCTTGTGTCAACCAAGAATCGGATTAGCCTTTAGTTCTCAGCCTTGGATCTCCTGGACACAGCCTCTTAGAACTGCACTTCGTTCCGTTTCTTGTTCCCAAGCAACCCAAGAGACTATCTACCTACCGTCAACTTCCTCTGGACCCGTCGGCTATTCCTTACTCTCCTGGATCTCCTTTGGCCACTTGGACCCGTTGACTATAAATTAATAACTGGAAACCGTTTATCCCTGGACAATATGACTGGCCGTCATGGATTTGAAGGACGCCCGGAGCGTCAGAACGAATATTTCATTCCTGGTGATGGTATCAGTCGGGAAGTTATCCAAGCAGATATTTGCCGTTACCTCGGGAATGATGCTCTCGTAAGACCTGGAAACCACAATGTTTGTTCCCCAATGTTCTTGCTGTACTTTCCACAATGCCATGGCACGACTGATGGCAGTAGCTATCTCTGAGGACACAAGACTGACACACATGAGCAGGGTCGCCAAGGCTACTTCATTCGAGCCTACCGCAATCTCACCTCTGTATGTTCTCGCACAAGCGCATCGCAGCGGTCATCATCCACAATGTACAATTCAACTGACTATTCATGCAGGAGATGATTGCTGATCTCAAAGCCGACTCTGCTCGGTGGGAGGCAGACGTTTCACGCCGAATGGACCAAGGCAATCCCAGAGGTAGCTACGCTCACGACTACAGTTATTCCCAGGCCCCTAACATCTCTCCCGCAACCTATCCAGCCACTACCATCCATGAAGGACGTCAACAAGGAGGCCCCTCACCCCCACCAGCCTACACTGCACCCCCTCCGGCACCTCAACAGTTTGTGGACCCATATGTTCAGCCCCCTTACGCGGCGACTCAGAGTCCCCCGTACCCTACTCCATCATCCTACCCTGCAAACCATTCACCTTTTGCAACTGGCCAGGCCCCCTACCCTCCCGCCCAAATCCCATACTCTGCTCCTAGTCAACCTGCGGTTTCTGCCGACATTCACCCTTCATACACATACGGCACTGGATATGGCTATGAAAATGGGAGAAACAATGCCCCACGCTACCCTGGGCCAGCAACGTATGAGGCCGATCAGGACTATTCCCCGGTAACTTCCGGAATAGCATACCCTCCCACTACAGCCGCGGACCCGAGGATTGGAATGGATCCCAGATACACTCCTGAGTCGACGTATCCAGACCGCAATAGGCCCCAGCCGACAAGAGAAAGCCAAGCTCCTCGCCGAACCCGGTGACGGCATTAACTCCCTTCCATGCTAGTGAGCTTGGGCGAGGATCACAATTCTCATTGTGTTATAATGACGGCCTCATCACCCTGGAAACTGCAGGCATTTCCAGATTTACGCTCCGATAATGGAGCAGTCTGAGGAACAATCCTCTTACATTTCTTAGCCTTACTGGAACATCGGACCAGGAAACAAAAGCGTGCATGACTTTGGGGATCCGAATTGCGGAGCCAGACATTTGGAGTACTGGATACTGTTCGACCTGGATACCACATATATTTATTTTATCGACTTTTGAAGCGTGCTCAACATCATCGCTGACGTTGGCTCGTGTTGCAGCTGACCTGCTTCCAATGCACATGCGGGGACGCGGTAATTGGGATCTGAAGATTGGCCCGCACTTCATCGTGCTCGGTTATGAGGAGGCTTTATGGCTTATTTTTGTCTGCAATGCCGGCGCTGGCTGTCTTGAATCTCCTTTTTGTGCTGGGCTATTCTCCTTTCTTGCGTCGTGTGGTTGCTTTTTCTGGTGAATAGGCTGTGGCACTTGATTTCTGATGCTTTCGTCCTTTCTGTTTTCAGGGACTGCAGGGATTAGTTTTTACGATGTCTTGAGTTCGGCGAGGTGCACCGACTGATTTTCCACAGTATCGGCTAGGATCTTCGATGATATACGGTGATGCTGTCCACGAGCTATATGTAGATATGAGCATACACGGCGTTAATCTCTGGTTTCTCAATGGTTGTTCCCTGGTTCCGACAGTGATGGTTCCAGTTCTGTTTGATAATCAATCTATTCTACTGCACTCCGTGAATTATACTATTCTCAATTCTGTCTCCCCTGTCTCATTTTCCCGCAACCTGCCCAACAATGTTTTGTCGTGTGTATGCACCTGCCCTAGGCTTTTGGTGTGCGGATCATCTGCGATTGTCCCAACTCCTTGGAGTGACAGCTGCAAATCTGCTCTAAGACTAGGTCTCATAGATGACCTACATATCCTTTGAAAGGAACCAAACCCGTCAGCTGTGCATGCTATCAGGAACTCCGCAGGTGCTTTTCACCACATTTCTTGACCTCCAACCGTGGCTTCTCTATCTCTAACCGCGGTGCTTGACTTCCGACTAAGCCCAATAGCTCGCCGACTAAGCAAAAGACCGATGATGTCGTGCTCTCAGGAACTCTGAAACTTCACAGGCGCATTCACTGCGGTTCCCGATGTCGCCGACTAAGCAAAAGGCCGAAGATGTCGTTCATCAGCTGTGATCTAGTTTTCACCCCCCTGAAACCCCAGCTCCGTGTTCTTTTATGTCCTCACATCCTCTCAACCGAGATAGATTCGAACTGTGCGTTACTATACGGAACCTCTAACCAAGACAAACAAAATTCAGGCTTCGCGTCTCACGGAACCACTATTTCTTCTGCAAGCATCTCTGCAAGATGTGTGAGTCGGTGTTTCAGCCGTTTAACGGAGACATCAAGATATCTGTGCCGCCTGATGTGTACAGACTCCACTCTCATGCGGTTGCTAGTCGCTCTGGTACTATCAGAAGGGCAATAGAGCAAGCACGAGAGAACGCTGATCCGTGCACCGACCCGGTTCTCATTGAGGTGGACCTCGTCGTGGTTCCTGCAGCTGACCAGAAGTATGGCTGGCTGGAAATAGAGGTAACCTTCTACAGATTTGATACGTCATGGTATAGTTCATGCTCGCTGACGAGTTTCCAGGCCGTCGCCGGGGTACCGCAGCGCCCACAGCCTGCCGACCTCCTATCTCCAAAGCTCCGCAAGATCTGGGCCAATCTGGTCAAGAGCTTGGATGATCAGACACCTTACTTGAAGCCTGAATACCCCGCTTCGCAACGACTGGCAGTTCGCGCAGATCAGGGTGAGGAGCCTGACGATATACTCCACAACACGAAGGCCCTCATGACCCTGGCCGAGGAGCTCGAAGCCACCGAGGCTGTGTTCTCAGCTCTGGGTGAGGCTTTTGTGGGCATGGGAGACGGCCTGGGGGAGGCGGTGGCCGAAGACCCAGTCCAGTGGCTGTGCATCTCCATGACTCTTCGGAATTCCTGGATCTTCAAGGACGCAGGCTGCCATGTGGTCGGCAAATGGCACAATTTGGAACATGAGGTGAAGATGTCTATCCCCGAGGCTGCCCGCCGCGTCTGCCAGAGCCATAGTGACAAGCTCGTCCAACGCTGTAAAGATGTCGAGGATTACATGATGAATATTGAGTTTGCCCCCTTGAAGAATCCAGGCCCGTCTGACTTGCTGGGCTTGAGCCCGCATATGTGGGTGGCACTCACTCGGTTTCGAGAATGGGTGTACGGGAATATCAGTAGGGGAAACGGCTTCCGCGGTGCTGAGGGAGGCTTCCTTCTCTATCGCTACTTGTGTGAAGAGGAGGATGACGACAATGACGAATATGATAATCAATGGGCCCCCTATCTTGACGAAGACGATTGCCCCAAGGAGGATGCGGACGAGGTTAATGCATGTTTGCTCTGCCTCAGGGAGCTTTGTCAGGACAAGGTGGAGCCGCTCTTGGAGTCCAATGTCAGCGATTCGAGTGTTCGCTACTTGACTTGTGCCGAGATTGACAATGAGGACGTCCCCTGGGATGATGAGGATGATGAGGATGATGATGAGGATGATGATGAGGATAAGGATGAGGATGATGAATGAGAATTGCCATCCGGCGTTTGTGCTATTAGCTTCCATCCTCCCAAGCGTCTGCTACACCAACATGGACAGCTTGGCTCGCACTTCATCTCGATACCTCGTCATCGCCATTGCCAATCCGCCAACTTATCAGTGTGCAATGTGCAAGGTCCATCTCGGATATTCTAGCCTTGTGATATCCCATCTTCCACTCTTTGCTTTCTGCTTGCTTTCCTCTCACTACGGCAATGCTTGTTGATCTGTTAATTTGGATATCGGTGACCCGAGTGCCTGCCAATCCTTCATTGCCCTTCTCTGTTGACCATTCTTTACTTCTACTGACATGGTGTTTGGCTCAGTCACTGTGTTAAAACAAACTCGAATCGGTCTTGCTTCTCCCTCTTCTTCCCCCATACTGCCCCTGACATCAATTTGCCCTTACTGCGTGCTACTACCTTGTCTTTGGCGCCGTACAAATCATCTTCTTGACATCTGACCTAATGAGCAGTCATATCTGGAATCTCTGAGCGAGTCACTACATCAGGATCAGGTCCTTCTTGTTCAGGACCAGTCCTGAGAAGAGACATGCTTAAAGAGTCCTATTAACACACTCTGTGGTCGGGAGTCTAGTCGGTACTTATCTCTGAATGTTCGGCCGTGACTTGGCGAATAACATCCTGTACAATACAGAAAAAGAAAATAAAAAGCTTTGCTTGAACAAGACATTCCTCAATCTCTCTGCTCAGTGATACATCTTCTCATGTACAGTACATTGTAACGCTCATACCCACTATGTTTAGCAAGCCATGGGGGGCACGCCAATCAACGAGGCGGGAATGGATGCTGATATCAGGATCGAGGAAGCTCCGCTCGCCAGACCAGAGATCCCGTCAGTTGACTCCATTGCCTCTCAGCCAGCTTGCCTCAGCTTGTCCCCCAGAGTCTCGAATCTGTGCGTTCACGTTGTCGATATCTCCGATGGCACCCTCACCACCCCCTCTTCAATCGCTTGCTTGCTCGAGACCTAAACCTAGCTTATAATGACGACAAACCCCAGACTCAGAACCGTCTGAAAATTGAAAGAAGAAAAAAAATCGGAACTGTATTGCATTGCTGTTGTATCTTGTGTGTGTTATATGGGGAAAATTTACTCGTCATCGTAACCCTGCGGGATGACGCGGGGACCGGCGGGGACTATTTGAGAAAGAGAGAGAGCGAAGTTAGCAACGGAAACTAGAAGCTTTGAAATTCCGCAAGTCACGGAATATGCTGCTGGTAAGATCGTCCTTACTGGGATATGTCAAGGGGACAGGCTCGGGGTCGTAGGAGCCGAAGTAGCGTCGGATCGGGGGGATGGTCACCAACGCGACCGGGCCCAGGGAGCCGATGACGAGGGAGTAGAAGATGGCGGGCTTCTCGTGCGAGGCCCAGCGCATGTAGCGGAAGGGAGTCGACCAGAATTGAGGAGCGGACATGATTGCGATGTTGGATAGGATAGCTCGGTGTGGGATCGGAGAAAGGGTTTTTTTTTGTGCTGGAAGCCGACGGGCGTTGGTGTCAGGTGGGAGATTCGGGAGGGAAGTGACCGGTGGTCTTGTATAGGTCAATGGGTATGGGAGATCGTAGAAAGACCGGCGGCGAGATCCTCCAGACTCTAGCGGGGAGGAGAGGTCGTAATCGGGGAAATGCGAGAGGGGGGACGACGGGCGGTGGAACGATGAGGAGAGGTCGAAAGTGACGACAAGCCGAAAGTGGATGCGGCGGTTTCCAATGGAGAAGACAGAGTCTTGGCACTCGGTCCAAACACGTCGCCCGTTCGTGCTCGACGTACTACTAACTTACTACGTATCACGATAATTGATGGGTTGAGAACTGCATTGGACTTATTTCTCCTTGACATCTTCCCCACCCCTTTCTTTTTGCGCCAGGAGCTGGCTCTTCTTCCCCTTCCTCTCTCCCATAAACTACCCGTCGCATAATGCGGTGGTGTCTTTCCTTCTTCCTCTTCGGCTTCCTGGCCGTGGTGAATGCGCTCAGTAGTTCCGGCAACCGTCTCTTGGTTGTCTTGGAGGATGCCTCCGAGAAGGGTCTCTATTCCACGCTCTGGAGTGATCTGAAGGGTATGCGTCTCTAATCCAGTGTGTATGAAGCAATTGATACTGATAATGCCGAATTCAAGCTCGTGGATATGACATCGCCTTCGAATCTCCCAAGAGTGACCAGCTCTCCCTGTTCGAGCTTGGCGATAGAGCTTATGACCACCTCCTCCTTCTTCCTCCCAAGTCGAAAGGTGAGACATTGGCTTTAGCTATCTACCATAGTTGCAATTGAGCATCCGATTGACCTGCTGCTCTAGGATTCGGACCTTCTCTTAGCCCCAAGAACATTGTCGACTTCCTGAACAAGGACGGAAACGTCCTCCTCGCTCTCTCCGGCAAGTCCACCACTCCTAGCGCCATCAGTTCGCTTCTTTTGGAGCTCGATCTCCACCTGTCGACGGACCGCTCCTCGATTGTCGTCGACCACTTCAACTATGATACCCTCTCCGCCGCCGAGAAGCACGACGTTCTGCTTCTGCAGCGCCCCGGCCAGTTGAGACCCGACACCAAGTCCTACTTCGATGGTGAAGGCGTCCTGGCGCTCCCCAGAGCTGCTCCTCACACTCTCGGCGACAACATTCTTGCTGCGCCTATTCTGCGTGCCCCCGTCACCGCCTACAGCTACAACCCCAAGGAGGAAACCGCTGCTGTTGAGGACATTTGGGCCACCGGTTCCCAGCTCTCTCTCATCTCGACCCTGCAGACCCGCAGCTCCTCTCGCTTCACCCTGCTGGGCTCCGTGGAGAGTCTTCAGGACAAGTGGTTCACCGCCACCGTCAAGGCACCCGGCAGTGGCGAGGAGACCAAGACGGTCAACCAGGAATTCGCCAAGCAGTTGACTGCCTGGACCTTCAAGGAGACTGGAGTGCTCAAGGTCGGAAAGATTGAGCACCATCTCGCCCAGGATGATATCACCGCCGAGGACTTGAACCCCACCATTTACCGGGTCAAGAACGAGACTGTAGGTTATGTTGACTCCGGGCAGACGAGATTCTATACTAAACATAACAACAGGTCTTCAGCATTGAAATCTCCGAGTACAGCTACGACAAGTTCGTGCCCTTCGAACTGCCCGCCGAAGATGCTCTCCAGCTCGAGTTCACCATGCTCTCCCCCTTCCACCGCCTGAAGCTGGAGCCTGCCTACCGCACCGAGAACAGCACCGTCTTCCGCACTCAGTTCACCGTTCCCGATCAGCACGGTATCTTTTCGTTCCGCGTGAACTACAAGCGTCCGTTCCTCACCACGATCGAGGAGAAGCACGAGGTGACGGTGCGCCACTTCGCCCACAACGAATTCCCGCGCAGCTGGGAGATCAGCGGCGGGTGGGTCTGGATCGCTGGACTGTGGTCTGTCATCGGTGGTTTCATGGCTTTCGTGGCCGTGTGGCTCTACTCGGAGCCGACCTCGGCTCAGGTCAAGAAGAACCAGTGATTGTAATTTATCTAGATGTCCAGTCAATGACAGTTTTCGTACATTATGTCTGTCACAATATTTCCGTTCGCCCACAACATGTCCGTCGTACGTCCCTCAAGCCTACGAGTATGGTTGTAGAGAATGTTCGCAAGAGCTTCTTTCAAAGTATGTACAGTACAATAGTCCCAGAACGTAGTCCTAGAGTAATCACATGAGAGGAGGGAAAGCACAGTCCCATATATTCTTCCAATCAACTCCAAAACCATGCCAGTGCAGATGAAACAGCAACAAAGAGTATAAGAAAAAGATAGAGCAGAGCAGTCGAGTCTTGAGGGGGCTGAGGAATGGTATAACGCATCACAAACGTTACGAGTGCCAAGCTGGAGCAGGGAAGGGGGAGGTTGTTGTTCTTGATGACAACTAACTTGCCCGCCTCCCCTGGGTGACACCAATCATTTCTTTTTTGCCCCGCGATCACAGACCTCTCGTCTTCTCGGGATCCATCCTCACCTCATCTCCACTGATCTCCTTGACCGACTCGAACGCCGGCTTGCCAGCATACAACTGCTGGGACTTGTTGGAGCTTCCCCCCTCGAGTTCCGTCGATACCGAGATCGGCTGGTTCCCGCGGAATCGTTTGCGCATGTCGATCAAGCCGCGTCTGTTTTGCGTGGCGGAAGGGGGATTGGTTAGCTTGTGAGGGCCAAATCTAGGGAAATGGGTGGAATCGATTTTCTCGGTGGGTTTGGAGATTACTCACTTGCACTCGCTGAAGCCCTTCCGCAGCTGCTGGCATCGCATCGGGAGCTGGTCGACGTGAGGGTCACTGAGACACTCCCGCGGGCTGTGTCGCTGGACCATAATGCAGTCGGATTCTTGGAGGCATTGCGCCAGTGCGTTCCCTGTTTCCGCGAAAGGAAGGTTGGTTAGGAGAGTGAGTGACAATGGTATGAGGGCTATCTCGAGGTTGTCCTCTATCTCCGGCCACGAATGCTGGATCGCGGGCGCGCGCGCGCGCGCAAGCCGGTACGACTCCCGCCGCGAGAGGAATTGGGGGAACAGTTTGAGGAGAGAGTGACTCACTGATATCCTGACAGGAAGCCGGCATCGTGGATTGAGTTTGCCCGACTGCTCGAACAAGAAGGTATTCAGTCACAACCAGAGAACCGGCAGCAATCTGATGATCATCTGCGGCCGGCAAACTCGACGCTCGGAGTGCCCTCGTCTCCCCCCGGATTAGGTAAGCATCACATGAAGAAGCGGCCGCCTGCCACCCCCTCCAGCATGACGTCTGGGAAGATAAACGGACCCTGTGATTGAAACTCCCCTTTCTAGGAGGCGGGTTGTATCCTTGCTGCCTTCGCTCAGTGATGACACTCTTGATTCGACGCGCTATGAGCTACGATAATCTGCCAGCATTTTGAGTCGTTCTTTCTATCTTCTGGTCATTTGCCCTACAGTGCGGTGACACTTGGCTGCGATCATGGCGCGCGTACCGGTTATTGGGAGGCTGTTTTGGTTTGAGTACCTGGCGCTTTTTGGGTCGCTGATCTTGGTGTTGCTGGAATGGGTCATACATATTATCACTTTCTGTCTGCGTGAGTACACCCGGATTGATGTTGTTCTGCTAGGGGTCGGGCACTGACTGGATACAGCTGAACCTGTCATTCGGTTCTGCTACGATCGTTCAAAGACAATCTTCAACCTCCTGATCCCTCCCGGGGAGGACCTTGATAAGCGTGAGAATGAAGAGAAGGTCGCTGCGGCCGTGGCGCAGGCGTCCGATTTCACAGATATTTGTGCTTTGTTTGGATACCAGGCGGAGGAGCATATCGTTCAGACTGGAGACGGCTACTTGCTCGGCCTCCACCGTCTCTCCTCTCGCAAGGGCGAGGAAGGGAAGCGGATCAACCAGGGTGAAGGGAGCATTAAGAAGAAGGTTGTCTACCTTCACCACGGGCTTATGATGTGCAGTGAGGTTTGGGTCTGCCTGTCGGAGGAAGAGCGATGCCTGCCCTTTCAACTGGTAGAGCGCGGCTACGATGTGTGGCTTGGGAATAATCGCGGCAACAAGTACTCCAAGAAGTCCACCAAGCACTCTCCGTTGACGAACGAGTTCTGGGACTTCTCCATCGACCAGTTCTCCTTTCATGATATTCCCGACAGCATCCGATACATTCTTGACGTGACGGAGCAACCCTCCTTGTCATATGTTGGTTTCTCGCAAGGCACGGCGCAGGCCTTCGCGACTCTCTCCATCCATCCGCTCCTGAATCAGAAGATTGATGTCTTCGTGGCTCTCGCGCCCGCGATGGCCCCAACAGGTCTGCCGAACCACGTAGTAGACTCGTTGATGAAGGCCTCGCCCAACTTCCTGTTCCTACTGTTCGGCAGACGCAGCATCCTCAGCTCCACTACTATGTGGCAGACCATTCTTTATCCCCCGATTTTCGTTTGGATCATTGACACGTCACTTCGCGGCCTCTTCAACTGGAGATGCAAGAATATCAGTCGCTGGCAAAAGCTCGCAGGGTACCTGCACCTGTTCTCTTTTACAAGCACCAAGTCGGTGGTGCACTGGTTTCAGATCATCCGACACCGGAACTTCCAGTTCTACGATGATGAGATCCACGCTCCGCTGAGTATTGTGGCGAGCGAGCGTTTCTACAAGCCGGTCAAGTACCCGACCAAGAACATCAAAACCCCTATCGTCCTGCTGTACGGCGGAAGTGACAGCCTGGTCGACATCAACGTCATGCTATCCGAGCTACCTAGCGGGACCATGGCCAAGGAGATCCCGGAGTACGAGCATCTGGACTTCCTATGGGCCCATGATGTGAACCGACGAGTGTTCAGCCATGTGTTTGACGCGCTGGACAAGTACAGCCGCAAGGGGAAGGAACAAGTCAATGGTGTCAAGGAGGTGGCAGGATCCGACTACTAAAGTTTTGTGATATGCCTGTTCTGTTTGCAGCTTTGACTCGATCAGGCAGGGTCACATTTAGACGGGAGGGAGGGGTGCGCATGTATGTACATATAACTTAGGGTACAGGCTTGACAGCTCGATAGGATTTGCTCACCGGCTTAGAATACACTACAAGCGAGGACGTCTCCATCAGAAGCCGGCACCTCTGAAAACGCTAGTACATAACCCCGTTGCAGCGGCTTGCATCCAATTGGCTGTGGATGCAGAGCATTGAAGATACATATATGTATAGATGCATAGTACTTTCGCGGATTCGGTTTGACGGGCTGTTGTTTTCCCTTCTGCTAGGGCGTGGATGGCGTGTTCGTGCATGTAGCCTAATACAGTGGTTTCGCTAAGAGTGTATTCGACCGACACCCATCTCTTCAGTGTGTACGGAGTACACGCCGCGGAGATTGTTTGCGGCAAATAATGTACCTAGTACGTACATCAGATGCATTTCACTTTCGGCATGACAAGCAGCCCAGCGCAGCCTTGGCGAGTGTATGCACTGTGCAATACAACTGCTGAAGTAGATGTCCACCGACACTGAGCGCCCACGTCACGCCAGGTCAACATCTGGCCGATGCGATGCGATGCGATGCAAGAATGCATCTTATGTCACCTCCCCTCTCCGATAACTAACTTAAGGCAGAGAGACGCCTTGGAACAGTCAATGTTTTCGATGACGAGGCGGAGCCTCATCAAGCTACGAGCCTCTTTCCCAGTACAAATCCTAGTTGTACATACATTACATAGCGTACGAATTAAGTGAAATAGTAAACTTACCTCATGAGTTACTTGTCGGTGTGATACATCGAATCTCGACTTGGATACATCCACCCGCCACACACACTCCGGTACTTCAAATGGCATGACGTTCCTCTCTTGCCTTTCCTTTCCCGCGCTGCCCGTTAGGCAGTGACAATAGTACTGTGCAGCACAAAAACTAAAGTCGCAAACCACACCGCGAAGGCGGAAAGTACAGTTAGTACCTACCTACCTACCTACCATCTAGCACCTGCTGAATCTGGTGGGCTCTCGATTAGTACGGAGGACTATTGTAGGTGCCCAGTGCAGTGCTGTGCGTACTGTGGGTGCGGCTTGACTTTTTTGGGGGCGAGGGGGAACATCGAACCAGTGAGGTGAAAGTACCCTGCAGGAAGAAAAGAACTTGAAGGATTTGATCCGTCCCTGACAGCTACAGTACTTTCCGGAACTGCTAGTCGCTTGGGTTCGGTGGGTTGGTGGTAGGGGGTCTGGTGCTGTTGGTTCTTTGGTGGAAGTGGAGTGTACTTCGGGTTCTGTCTTGTTTATCTGGGGTGGGTTGGAGAAGGAGGTAGAGGTTTGGTGGATCTTTTGGGGAGTGGGAAGTGGAAGGGAAGAGAAGGGGAGGGAGAATGGAGACCGGAGGCAATAGAGGGAGGGATGTGTATGTTAGATTTCATAAATGAGAATGATCGAGGATGAGGGATGCATGCAGTGTTGTTTGGTGATGATGACGTTGAAACGAGGGGTTAGCATAGATGGGCCGTATCGGGAAAGAGGCAAATAGATCCATGATACAAGGTACTGGATGGAGGTGCCCAGGGTTGATGATTGTTGATGATCGATTGATCTTGAGGGCGGTGGTTTGGGGGACTTTTTGTACACTCAGCACTTGTACTTTTTTCTATTGAGTGTATTGTTGTACTGTACCTTGCCATCCTGAGGATTATATTGTCCAACAACCCACCCCATCTGGGGGTCTGTTTATCTGAATTGCCAATTTTCAAGAGTTAGCAGGTACGTACAGTCGCTATATGGTGATCCTGGCTCAAGAGAAAGCACAGGTAGGTGATTGCGTTTGTTGGATGCTCAATTGCTTGTTGTTTATTCATCCTCGTCAATGGCTGCCCTGCCCTGTCTTTCCTCCTCTCCTCATCTCCAGTCTCCCCTCCGACAATGCAGACGTCCTTCGAGCCCGAAGAATGATCTTCCAGAAGTCGGATGAATGCATAGGAGCAGGACAGGACAGCTGATTCAATTATTCTCTGGCTAAACCATGTTGGTTTCCCCCTTTCTCGGAGGAAGAGTACGGTAGCTACTAGTTACGCGATGTACAGTCCACTCCACCCTCGGAATTACACAAGAGACGATCTGACCTCGGACTCGCTCACTCTTCCACACCCTCTCTCACATCCTCTTGTTCCTTGTTATGCCGGATTGAGTTTGGGGGAATGCATTCCGGACGGGATGGAGAGAAGCTTCAAGCAATGCTAGTCTAATCATTGATTGTTTAAGGTTTTTCCTGGACCACAACAACATCGCTTGCCATTCTCACCGCCGCCGAAACGAACGAACTTCCGGGGGTTCTTCTTCCACAGCGGTTGCACCCATCAAAGACATCGAAAAGAAAACACAAGAAAACATAGTATAGGAGAGAGTTAGAGAAAGATCGAAGATCAGAAAGGTGCGTGAATTCAGTCCGTGTATGTGCGCATGTGTGCTCCGACATTGATCAATCGGCCTGTTATCGCAATCCCATGCATTTCTTCCTCTTCCTCTCCTCCTCCCCACACAAAGCCGAACCACAATCCAACCCACTTTCTCGGTGGACTGGGCTTGGCTGGCTGGCTGGCCGGTCCTACTGCTTCGGTTTCTGCCTCTGCCTCTGCCTCTGCCTCTGCTTCTTGTCTGGCTCTTGCTCACGTCTTGGACGCTTCTTGTTGCTCCTCTGCTCTACTCTGCTCACGCTTGTTGTTAGTTTTAGTTATTTTCTAGTTAGTCTCCGGCACCAGTGGTAGTAGTGGTAGTGGTGGTGGTCAGAAACACGGAATTCCCCTCCCTCTCTCTCTTGTCTTCTTCTCCTCCTCCTTCCAAACCAACCCACCTTCCCACCCACTTCCAAAAACTCGCCGCCTCGACATCTCGAACAACCATCGTTCTCCTTTATTCCGATTCTCCTCTCACCACCCCCAACTCAACTTCCCTCCTTCCCACACCTTGCTTCAGACCTCTCTTGTGTCCAGCTTGTCCGACGCTTTCCGCCTGCCAGCTCCCGCGGAATTGGTTGGGAATCGATTGGCATTAAGACCGATGTAACGGATCGCGTGTGGATGTTGCCCTTGCTCTCCCAGCACTCCTCCCGACTCCCCCGCCTCCAACCCTCCGAAAGGGAATCAATTCATTCTTCACCTCCGATCATTTCCTTCCCCCTCCCATCCATCCTTTGATTGATTGGTGCGGATTGATACAGACAAACATCGACAAAGCCTGTTTTGCCCTCCCCCCCTCCTCCTGCTCCTCCTCAGGGCTACTCCTCCTCCCTCCTCCCTCGGCCAACCTTTTCTCAATTGTCGCATTCGGCCGCGTTCCCGTCTCGACCGCAGATTCGGCCCCCCCTCCCAGATCAGAAACACAATCGACATCGATACTTTTGTCGGAGCTTGACTCGCTTTTCGCACCTTCATACCCAGCCCCAAACATCACTATAATCGCGAAGCTATAGCCAATCGTCTCAATGCGGCCACAGTAAGTCCCCCGACTTGCGCATCATGCTCTCGGACACATCTACTCGGCGGAGGTTGCTGATCGCTCGCTTCCGACTACAGACGGGAGTATCATATCGTCGTTCTAGGCGCTGGTAGGCACATACTCTTCTCCTGGGATCGGGAAAGATTCACCACTGACGACGGGCGATTCTCGTCGGCGCAATAGGAGGTGTGGGCAAGAGCTGTCTTACTGGTATGTCTGGACGAGGGCACTACCCCGTCTGACTTGTATTCGTGCTGACGCCAGGCAGCTCAATTCGTGCAAAATGTGTGGATTGAGAGCTACGATCCGACGATCGAGGACTCCTACCGGAAACAGATCGAGGTAGACGTAAGTGACATCACTTGCCCCCGAGATATGTGCAGTCACTTACCCGCAGCAGGGCCGACAATGTATTCTGGAAATGTATGTTTCCTTCCGCAGTCTTTCGGGATCCTAGACGCTGGGCCAATCCATGATGGACCAAGGTAACTGACTTGAATGACCTGTGCAGACTGGACACTGCAGGAACAGAACAGTTCAGTAAGTTGACGGTCCCTCGATGGTGCTTCTTCTCCTCTGACTAGTCTACAGCGGCCATGAGGTAAACATTGCGCCCACCCTCCAGCATCACAAGTCCCTACGATCACGCAATCGCGCAATCGCACGATGATCACCAGCATTCCCTTTCATCCGATCTCGCAACTGACAGCGCACTCTGCAGAGAGCTATATATGAAGCAAGGACAGGGGTTTCTGCTCGTATTTTCCATCACGAGCATGTCGTCCTTGAACGAACTATCCGAGTTACGAGAACAGATTATCCGCATCAAGGAGGATGAGAAAGTGCCTATTGTCATTGTGGGCAACAAATCCGACCTTGAGGAAGACCGCGCGGTTCCACGCGCCCGCGCGTTTGCTCTCTCCCAGAGCTGGGGCAACGCCCCCTACTACGAAACCTCGGCTCGTCGACGAGCCAACGTCAACGAAGTTTTTATCGATCTCTGCCGGCAGATCATCCGAAAGGACCTGCAAGGCAACTCGAAGAGCGACGACTCCTCCCGCAAACGGGAGAACCCCAATCGGGGGGAGAAAAAGAAGGATAAGAAGCGGCGGAAGGGCCCTTGCGTGATCTTATAATCGATTTATACTGAGACGAAGTGAAGCAGCAGACTTTCAAAATGCAAGCGAGCAAATTATTTGCTTGTCCGCATGATCTACTTTTCATTTCTTGGCTTTCTGTCTCTCTTTTTTTGGCTGCACATACCCCTTTCCGTCTACAATCCTTGTTTAATGTTGAATCTCAGACCCCATGTTTCATCATACGCTGTCAATGTGTTCCCACGATAGATATATGTGATTTATAGCCCAATTCGTTTTTTTTTTTTCTTTTCTCCTTTTTTTGTTGCGATGGAAAAGAGAAAGTGTATATTTATTCGGTCTACTGATCTTGTTGCCATCCTACCGCATGGTATCATTGTCTGGTGTATGGTTGTAAACACAGTTTTGTTTGAAACAGAAAAAAGTTGGATGATAGATTGCATATGTCGCGACAATCGAAAGACGCAGAAATTAACAGCAGCCCTGCTGTTAGCCCTTGATCTTTGTTTCTGGCAGGTGTTGTTTTCGGTGTGCCCTATGTGGGTAGCTCTATGTGGTGGCATAGATAGACGAGCCAGATACTAACATCGCCCTGGGGACAGAAGCCTTTGCTCTTCTCCCACCCCTATGACGGTTCGGCCGGTCAATCTCGTGGGTTGGTATCGCTGATGGCTGTGGACGGTACCCAGCTGGTAACGAAGTTATCTCTCCCCCACAAAGCATCCTCAGCTGAACTAGACGGGAATATACTCGCTCCCAGTCCGGGTAGAAGCAACCTGAAGTCTAAGCCCCTCTAGTACCTCAGTGGTGAAACCCTCCCCACGAGTTCCATACGCAGTGCCGGTAACTTGGAAGCATAACAGAACCACAGCCGAGAGTCAAGTCATCCATTGCACTTGGGGTAGGTAAACAACTCCCTGAACCACCCAGAGACCTCATTCAGCTCACTCACCCACGCCACTAGAGACAAACCATAACCAAAAAAGAGTAAGGCTAAGTTAAGACGGTGTTCAAGGAAAAAAGAAAAGGCAAAACAGGAACGAAAATCACGTAACTTGGAACGGACAACATAGGTCATGCCCGGGATCGAACCGGGATTACGGGAATCAAAATCCCGGGTGCTAACCATTACACTACACAACCGAGGGTGATGTCATCGCCGCGGGTATTTGACACTGTCAAAAGGGATTCGGGCCTCTGGGTACTAGGTGCTGTAGTGTATCGAAGCGCAAGGGGTTGGTTGCAGTTATGAGCCCTCTCAGATAGGCGGATACTTGAGGGATATACGATACCTCCCGTGGGGGCGGGGGGGAGGGCAGACTGATTCATACAGGGGGCATAACCAAGCAGAAGCAGTACTACACCAAAAGAGGGAAGGGGACAGGGGCCAGACATTTGAACTTCCAAGGCTAATTTCATTCGTCGATATTGATGTTTAGTTAAAATGTGTGTTGCAACTATGGTGACTACATCCGGAACACCCCAAACCGCGTCCGCACATCGGCATCGACCTTGCCCCCGACGGCGGCCGCCAGCCCCAACCCCAGGAACTGGCGGGTCTGCGCGGGCGGGATCACCCCGTCGTCCCAGAGGCGCGCCGACGAGAAGACCGCCTCGGATTCGCGGTCGATGCGGGCCTTCAGGTCCGGGTCGGCGGTGCGGCCCACGGCCTCCATCACCGCGGACAGTTGCTCGGAGCCCATGACCCCGATTCTGGCGTTGGGCCACATGAACAGGAATCTTGGGGAATAGGCGCGGCCGCTGGGGGATTGTCAATCAGTCTTAGTTTTATTTTCCCCAACAAAAAGGGGGGGGAACTCACCACATGCCATAGTTCCCGGCGCCGGCACTGGAGCCAAACACCACGGTGAACTTGGGCACGTCGGCACACGCGACGGCCGTCACCAGCTTGGCGCCGTTCTTCGCGATCCCGCCTTTCTCGGCGTCGGCACCGACCATGAAGCCCGAGATGTTCTGCAGGAAGACCAGGGGGATGCCGCGCTGGGCGCAGAGCTCGATGAAGTGCGCGCCCTTGAGGGAGGACTCGGAGAATAGGATGCCGTTATTGGCGACGATGCCCACCTGGTGGCCGTAGATGCGCGCGAAGCCCGTCACGAGCGTGGTGCCGTAGTCGCGCTTAAACTCGGCGAACTCGCTGCCGTCGACTATGCGGGCGATGACCTCATGAACGGGGATCTGGCGGCGGAGGTTGGTGCCCACGATGCCGTTGAGCTCGCTGGGGTCGTAGAGGGGTTCTTTGATGGGTGCTGTTGTCGCTGCTGTTGTGTTGGATAGACTGCCCGGCGTGGAGGGTAGGTTCGTTTGCGGATAATTCAGGTTGGAGACGGATCGTCGCGCCAGAACGATGGCGTGGGCGTCGTCGACGGCGAGGTAGTCCGTGACCCCTGAGATCGTGCTGTGGAGGTGCCCGCCGCCCAGATCCTCGGCGGAGACGACCTCGCCCGTCGCGGCCTTGACCAGCGGCGGGCCGGCCAGGAAGATGGTGCCCTGGTTCTCGACGATGATCGTCTCGTCGCTCATGGCGGGCACGTAGGCACCGCCGGCCGTGCAGGGGCCCATGACCACGGCGATCTGCGGGATCCCTAGCGAGCTCATCCGGGCCTGGTTGAAGAAAATGCGGCCGAAGTGGTCGCGGTCCGGGAAGACGTCCGCCTGGTGCGGCAGGTTGGCACCGCCCGAGTCGACCAGGTAGATGCACGGCAGTTTGTTCTCCTGCGCGATGGCCTGCGCCCGGAGATGCTTCTTCACGGTGATCGGGTAGTAGGTGCCGCCCTTGACCGTGCTGTCGTTGGCGACAATCATGCAGTTCACGCCTTCCACCGTTCCGATGCCCGTGATGATTCCCCCGGCGGGCACATCCTCTCCATAGACCTCGTGGCCGGCGAGCGGCGAGAGCTCGAGGAACGATGTGCCCGGGTCAATGAGGGCGCTGACCCGGTCCCGAGGCAGCATCTTGCCTCTGGCTAGGTGTTTGTCCTTGGCCTTTTGAGGACCGCCTTGCGAGATTGTGCCGTGGAGACTGGCCATCCGATCAAGGAGTTCTTGCATCTGTTGGGCGTTTTCCTGGAATTCGGACGATGTAGTATCGACGGCGGTGGGGAGGACGGATATAGCAGATGCATGATGGGGGTGTGTGTAGTTGGCAATTGATCTTGAGAGGATTCGAGGGGAGGTTATGGTTGTGGATGGACGCAGTGCAAGTCGTCGATATGGAAGGGCGACAGTGTTGGGTCTCAGGCTCCGCAGAAGCGGAGACGGAGCGCGCATTGCGGGGAGGGAGTGGGCAAAAGCTGGGGAAGACGAAGGGTGCGGATACCGGGGATCAAGGAACGCCAACTGGTAGACGATTACTAGACCATACTATCGCATGATTCCGTGCGAGAATCAGACGGTGAATAACAGATACTGTATGCTCTTTTATCTCTGTGGAATGGAGAAACCGAAGGAGGAAGGGAAGGAGAAAAGAGGAGTCGGCGAAAGGGAGGGGAGCAGGTGACATGCGGAGAAGCATAGCGCTGTTTGCCGTGTTTAGCCGCCGTGACATCGACACCGTTTACCCTGTTGTTGCAGCTAGTTCTACCGCGGCTCTCCCCTCTCTCTTTTCCCTTGGGGTATAAATCATCAAGCTCTTTACTTCTTAACAAGGATCTATTCCATACATAAACACCGAGAGACAATTGATTCTTACCACATGGCTGCCCTTCCCCGATTCCCCAGTCTTCTCCGGACTACCTCCCGGACTCTAACCAGACGAATCCATCATCCCCTCATCCAGCCCCCCGCACTACGCACCCTAGCAACCAAGCACCCGAAGGACTTCGTTCCTCCAACGGAAGACGATTTACTCGAGCTACGAGAACGAGTCCAAGAGTTCACCCGTAAGTAAGCCCGGTACCATAATAGCTGGAGGACAAGGCAAACCTTTACTAACCATCAATCGCGGAATCAAGGGCGCGAGATTCCAGAGGAGCTGGCCGCACGGACCGACGCCCAGAATGAGTTCCCGGCGGAGATGTGGAAGAAGTTTGGCGATGCTGGGTATGGCCGTCGTCTCTAAATTATGCATCATCCATTGCAGAAGCGTCCTTGCTGACCAGCTCCATCTATGAACCAGATTCTTGGGCATCACCGCGAACGAAGAGTACGGCGGTCTCGGGATGGGCTACCAGGCCCACTGCATAGTCATGGAGGAGATCAGTCGTGCCTCTGGTATGTACAATCTTCGCCGTTGTCTCTCCATCTAGCTGGAGACACTATGATTCTTACCCATGGATTCACGAGCAGGAAGCATCGCTCTCTCATACGCCGCCCATTCCCAACTCTGCGTCAACCAACTCTCCTTGAACGGGAACGCCGACCAGAAAGAACGATTCCTCCCCGGGCTTCTCTCGGGAGACAAAGTCGGCGCGCTAGCCATGTCGGAGCACTCGGCCGGGTCCGATGTCGTGAGTATGAAGACCACGGCGAAGGCCGTGGACGGGGGGTGGGTGTTGAACGGAACGAAGATGTGGATTACGAACGTGAGAGACTCTCGCGCAGAATTGGGATGGCTGCTCTAAGTACATGCTGACCCAACGCGCAGGGCCCAGATGCAGACTACGTGGTGGTCTATGCCAAAACGGAGCCGGAGAAGGGGTCCAAGGGTATCACCGCGTTTGTGGTCGAGAAGGAGTTTCAGGGTTTCTCCTGCGCCCGGAAGCTTGACAAGCTGGGCATGCGTGGCTCGAACACTGGAGAGCTGGTCTTTGAAGATGTCTTCGTCCCGAAGGAGAATGTCCTCGGCGAGGTGAATCGCGGCGTGAAGGTGTTGATGGAGGGGTTGGATCTGGAGCGCCTGGTGCTCAGTGCGGGTCCTCTGGGGTAGGTTATCTCTGTCTGGCATTGACTTGACTGACTGTGAAGGGGGACCAAAAGAATGAGTATGTCCCGGAGCTAACGAATATACAGAATCATGCAGGCTGCGCTGGATCTCGTGCTGCCCTATACGCACGTCCGCAAACAGTTTGGGATGCCGATCGCTCACAATCAGCTGATCCAAGGCAAGCTCGCCGACATGCACACTAAACTGGCGGCATCGCGGGCCTACACCTACGCGACTGCCCGGCAGATCGATAACTCGGCCGGTTCTCCGTCTGGAGCCGTCATCCGCACCCAGGACTGCGCCGGGGCGATCCTCTATGCTGCGGAACGAGCGACAGAATGCGCGCTCGATGCCATTCAGCTCATGGGAGGCAACGGATACATCAACGAGATTCCGGCGGGGAGATTGCTACGAGATGCGAAGTTGTACGAGATCGGAGCGGGCACGAGCGAGATTCGGCGGATGGTGATAGGACGGGCATTCAACAAGGAGTACGCATAGAACCAGAGATTAATTAGTATGTCGGGTTCAACAGATCTGTATAAACTGCACAAATATCAAGAAAGTCATAACATCATAGCGCTCATTCGCGATGGATTGCGTTCCTTTATTTATTCCTCGCTGATCTGCGCACAGGGGCCGAAGGTGCAGCAGCAGCAGCAGCAGCAGCAGCAGCAGGTACGGGGACGGGGACATCTTTACTGCTGTTAACCTTTCCGGCTTTCGTGGAGGATGCGACCCTCTTGGCCCGGGTCTTTGCTGCAGTTTCCGGGATATCGTCGACCGCATCATCGGCCTTGCGCTTCCTGGACCGGGGCGCTGTCGGTTTCTCAAGCGACTCATCGAACGAGGAGCCATCCGCCGTCTCCCCGTTGACCGTCTCTCTGTTGGTGGCAGTGGCAGCGGCAGAATCAGCATCAGCCTCACCACCTCCTTCAAACGAACCCCCATTTTCAACCTCACCACCGTCGATGACCAAGCCCGCTGCGACAAACCCCTCCCCATTAACCACACCACCCTTACCCACACCTTTCCCTGTATCGTCCCCAACCTCCTCCATCGTAGCAGCATCAACACCATCCACCTCCCGACTCTCCGCATTCCCCCTCCCCTCCGCCCCCGCACTACTACCCCTCGAACACAACCCCTGCTGTTGCTGCTGCTGCTGCTGCTGAATCGGCGCAGGCTTCCTCCCAGCCCCGGCCCCCGCCACCACGCCCACGGCAGCGGTCATCCTAGGATTGGCACTCCGAAACACCTCGCGCCAATTCTTCAGCAGCGCCACCTTCTCCCCCTCGCCGGGTTCATGCAACGCGACCACCGATTGTTGTTCCTTCTCCTGGTGCGGAGATTTCCAGACCACACTCTGGAACGCGCCGAGATCGAAAAACGGGGTTCTTTTGGCAGTCGGTTTTGGTTTACGTTGGTGTTTGGTCACAGCAGCAGCGCGGTGATGGTGGCTGTGCTGCTTGTCATGATGGCCGTCGCCGGCAGGTAACAGGCCCAAGGCGCGGGCGCGGCGCACGGCGGTCGGATCCTCGTCGTAGTAGTCATCCGACAGATCGTCCCAGTCGGAGAAGTAGTCTTCGACTTCTAGGGCGGGGTGGTCGTAGAAGATGGCGTCGTTGGTGGAGGTTGCTGCTAGGTCGTCCTTTTTTGTGGCAGTTTTGTCAGTGAGGGGTAGGGGGATTGGAGGGGATGTTAAAAGGAGGTTGATTAGGGTGTAAGATGCGATTCTGGGTCAATGTCTCAGGTAGTGGTTTTGACAGTACGTACAGCGATGGTGGGATCGGGTTCCTCCACCCAGAAGATATCCTCGTCGTATTCGTCGTAATAGTCTTCGTCGTCGGACATTGTCTCGGGCCCCTTTTTCTTTTGGGTATGTGTTTGAAAGGTGTCAGGTATAGGTTGAAAGTGAGGGATGATGTTGTGTGATCGGAGGTTTTTTTTTTGCAGCCGCAAAGGTATCGATAGTGGTGGTGGTGGTGAATTGAAAAGTGAGGGTGCCAGAAGAAGGAAAAGTTGCGCGTCAGATTTTCAGTACTTGGTGTTGGATGGTTTGTTCTGGTGTTGTGTATATGCTGATCAAATAATAAAAATGAATGAGATAAACAGAGATATGAACCAAAGAGAAAGAGCGCGTGTAGAGACAACAAAGGAGGCTAGCGACCGAAGTGTCGATCGCGAATGGAGAGAGAGGGAGAGGGAGGGCAGGCAGACAGACACTGACGACTGACGACTGACGACTGACCCTGATGCAATGGCCGCTGACCCGGTTTCGTTTCTTTCAGTCTTCGAAAAAACCCGGCCGGTGGAGTCCACGGTCACGTGCAGCGGGCTTCCCCGCAGCCGTCGCTTTGCGTCGGCCCAAGGGGTCTCCGCTCCAACAAGCTGGGGGGAGGTTGCATCTACAAGAACCGGGGGTGCTGCTCGCCGGTCGCTAACTTACCGATGTGATTGATTCCAGATCCGAAGTCTTGTTCTTACATTATAGCAAGAATATGCGACTATCTACGAGCACCCTGGAGCTTTGTTGACTGATCCCCTGCGAACCTCTATATTCTGGTCATTCGTGATGACCCTCTCAGCGCTTCTCCGCACTACATCCCGCCTAGGGCCGACGGCGGTTCGTAGAGCCAGAAGAGCAGCCTCCACCCTCTCCACGGATGCGGCTACGACTCAGAAGCCCTTGGACTCGATTCTGATCGCGAATCGAGGAGAGATTGCACTGTGTGTGCTTTTCCGTTGCTGATCTAAGCTTTGCGGTGACTGACCTGACCACCAAATAGACGAGTCGGACGCACGGCCGCCCAGCATGGTATCCGGGTGACGACGCTCTACACAGATCCGGACAGCAAAGCTCAACATGCCTTGAGCTCGCCGTTCGCCTTTAACCTCGGGTCGGTTTCGGCTTACCTGGACGGGGACCGGATCATCGAGATCGCGAAGAGGGAGGGCTGTCAAGGGATACACCCGGGATATGGTTTTGTGAGTGACTGCCTGGTACTGGGCCATGTGCACCTGAAAGCTCATAGCATCTAGTTGAGTGAGAACTCTGCTTTTGCAAGGAAATGCACTGAAGCTGGGCTGGTCTTCATTGGTCCGCCATGGAAAGCGATCGAGGATATGGGTGATAAGAGGTAGGCTGACGGATGCACTTCCAGCTTACTACAAAAACTGACTTTAAGCAGTCAGTCCAAAAATATCATGACCGCTGCGGGTGTACCGTGCGTGCCCGGCTACCATGGTGAAAACCAGGACGCCGACTTCCTCGAGGCAGAGGCCGACAAAATCAAGTACCCCGTTCTGATCAAAGCAGTCAAAGGCGGAGGCGGCAAGGGCATGCGCATCGCACACTCCAAAGCCGACTTTCAGGCCCAGCTCCAGTCCGCCAGGTCGGAGGCTATGAGCTCCTTCGGGGATGATCACGTTCTCGTGGAGAAGTACATCACCACACCTCGTCACATCGAAGTTCAAGTCTTCGCCGACAAGCATGGGAACTGCGTGGCCCTGGGAGAGCGCGATTGCAGCATCCAGCGGCGACACCAGAAGATCCTGGAAGAGTCCCCTGCTCCGCATCTTCCAGATGCGACCAGGAAAGACATCTGGGCGAAAGCTAGATCAGCCGCACTGGCGGTGGGCTACGAGGGCGCGGGCACGGTTGAGTTCATCTTTGACAACGACAGCGGCGAGTTCTTCTTCATGGAGATGAACACCAGACTGCAGGTCGAACACCCTGTCACGGAGATGGTGACTGGCCAGGACCTGGTGCATTGGCAGATCAAGGTCGCCGAAGGCGCTCCATTGCCATTGACCCAGGACGAGGTGGAGGCTTACATGGCTACCAGTGGACACGCGATCGAAGCTCGCATCTACGCCGAGAATCCAGACCAGGGCTTCATCCCAGACTCTGGCACCCTCCTGCACGTCCGCACTCCCGCCGCGACCGAGGATGTCCGCATCGACGCAGGATTTGTCGCAGGCGACGAAGTATCCGCCCACTACGACCCGATGATCGCCAAGCTCATCGTGCGAGGCGCCACACGACAGGAAGCCATCCGCAAACTCGCCGCCGCGCTGGAAGAGTACGAGATCGCAGGGCCGATCACCAACATCGAATTCTTAAAGACTATCTGCCGCAGCTTTGATTTTATCTCTGGGGATGTGGAGACTGGATACATCGATAAGCACCGCGCGGAATTGTTTCCGGCGAAGACCATTGATCCCGAGGTGCTGGCCCAGGTGGCACTGGCCTGTCTGCAACGGGATGCCAGCCTTGCGTCTCGCGCGCAGGCTAGCTTTGAGGGCTCGGGGATTGGGTTTAGCCCCGGCTACCAGGCGCATCAGATATCCTTTGCAGATCTGACACCCGGCGCTAATGATGACTCGCGACACGAGGTCCGCATCCAGCAAACCGGCGACAATACATACAACGTCACCGTCCAAGGCGTGGTGTTCGAACAGGTCGTCAGCCACGACAACTCGAACTCTAACATCATCACCTCCTTCTTCCCTCACACCCGCCTCGACACCACGGTCATCCGCGACGGGGACATAATCATCGCCTTCCAGAAGGGCACGCAATACCGCCTGACCATCCCACCGGCCAAATGGATGGAGAAAGCATTGGGCATGAAAGACATCAAGAACAGCGTTCTCGCACCGATGCCATGCAAAGTGCTGCGCGTGGAGGTGGCCGCCGGCGACACGGTCGAAAAGGATCAACCGCTTGTGGTGATCGAGAGCATGAAGATGGAGACGGTCATCCGCAGCCCACATAAGGGTGTCATTGCCAAAGTGGTCCATCAGAAAGGAGTAAGTCAGAGATTTTGCTATCTATATCCCTGCCCGATTATTGTTTCGTCTTGCCATCTCGCCTGATCTGGGCGATCTTCCAGGGGCTTGGACAGGATGATGATCATGAACTTTCCAAACGGATTTTTCTAGATTTACCAGACTGAAACTGTCTGGGGCTTGTCCTCGTCCATTTCTCTACATTTGTGGGGTTGTGTGACCGTGCTCTCCGGATGACTACACCGTCGCCCGAGCTCTATTCCCCACTCCCAACTTTTTTGTTTTGTTTCGCTTTGCCAGGGAAAACAGCTGCAGTCAGATGACTAACAGGTACCTTGCAGGATCAATGCAAGAGCGGAACACCGCTGGTCGAGTTCGCAGAGGAAAGCGGCGATGAGTGAAACAGAGAAATATGGACCTCTGGCGGCATTTTTGAATGTAGACATGACCCAAGTCAACCGGTGAGGGTCTGTGATTGTGACAACTGAGCGGTCTCGCGGGCAATTTCTGCTGTGTGATAGGTTTGTTTCTTTTGGAGCGTCTTATAAATGCAATTTATTGTTCTTGGTCTTGAATGCAATGCACCGGCTATCTGTACTTTGGGGGTGTTTGAGGATAAGGCGACGTTGTGGGGAGCGGAGGATGGATGGAGCCTAAACTAATTCCTGAAATTTCGATGTAGACCGCTGTGATTTGTAGGAGTTAGA